GACGATGGAGAGATGGGAAGCAAAAATTTGTCCTCTGATAAACTAATTTTTTTCAAACTTCTCACCTCTTTTTTTCCCTTTTTCAGCAGCTGCCCAGAACCGACCACAGCCGCCGGTTCCTCCGGCTACCTTGCAGAAACCCACAGTCTCAAGAAAGAGGAATAAAAAGAAAAAAGCCGCCCCAAAGACTGTTGAGCCCCTGACCGTGAAACAGAAACCGGGCACTGTGGAGGACGACAGAAAGTCACTTGCGAATTCGGGCAGGTTGAGCGTGGAAGGAGCCGAATCCGCCTTGAAAACGGAGCCGCCGGTTTCAGGATTCGGCATCGTGCTCGAATCTTCGTCTTCGGATGTAAGTGGACGAGATGCGATGGATTGCGGGCAATCCTCGACTTAACAACGGTCCGTTTAGCGACTGTTCAAAGTTACAAACGGCGCTGAAAATAGTGACTTGTGACTGTTTCTCACACTTACGACGGTTGCAGCCATCCCCGTTCCCACGTGATGAAAATCCAGAGGTTTGGCAATCGATTCATATTTATGACGGTTGCAGGATCCCAGGTCAGTGATCCCCTTTTGCGACCTTCTGATGAGCAAATGTCAAGGGGAAGCCATATTTCACTTAACACCCGCGTTACTAATTTAATAACTGCAGTGATTCACTTAGCAACGGTGGCAAGAAAGGTCGTGAAATGGGGTAAACCCACGATGAATGTTTCACTTAGGAAGTTTGAGCTCAATCATGGCTGTAAGTCAAGGACTATCTATAGTGAAAACCTTCCATTTTTTATTAAATAATCATGTTCACGATAATTCTGGGCCAGGGTCCTCCATTTTCCTAGCAATTCTTAGAATAACGTTGCTTTCCTAAGGGATGTTTCATTAATCCATCAGACGGAACATCAAACCTGATCGAATATATGCTGGGTATGTCTTGCATATATCTATTTTTTCCATCAGAGGAGATTGGTGTGCACTGGGTGACTTTGGGCCAATCACCAGGAGATAGGGAGTTCTAGTTCCGCCTTAGGCAGGAGAGCCAGCTGGGTGACTTTGTAACTGGGGGACTAGCCATAGCTTTGCAAGGGCACTATGAGAGCTGGAAAAGCGGTATTTGATATATTCCCCACCACCACCTCTTTCGAATTGGACATTTGTTGAACAATTGTCTGGGAAGGCAAAAAAAAAAAAGCTTCAGATCTTTGTTGCAGACGAAGTCGGTTCACGGGGGAGGGAGAAGCCGAGCATTCATTTCTACAATGGACTTCCCCCCCCCCCCCACATTTCGAGAAGACAGTTTCCAATTTCCTAAGTGCGCCCAGAACACAGAACCTAATTAAATTCGGTATCAGTGATCGTAAAGGAAAGAAATTGTGCAGAGGATACGGTGCCTTTCTATGGAGAAGTGTAAACTAATAATGCAAAAGAAGGCGCCGTCTGATAATTCACTTACACGGAGGCCAGCTATGCCTGGTAATCAGATTAGTATCTCATACCCCGAAGATCCGTATCGCAGTCCATAGTAAAGGACTTGATGCATTTTTGTGTGTGTCGCTGGTGCTGTAATTAAAATTAAAATCTCTGGAAGGAGGAGGGGACCGGGAACTTTATTCTTTAGTTTTACGACTTAACTCTGAATTTTATTTTAATTTCGGTTTTATCAGAATTTTCAACACGCAGGATCCATCTTTTAAAGCAAAATCGTGCAAAATTGAAGTCTGATTGAAAATCTTGGTTTTCTAGGCTTTGCTCTTGTGACTTTTTGGATTTTTTAAAAATAAGTTTTCATTGGGTACTTATTAAAGCACACTGTTAAGAATGTAGTTTTGGGCCATAAATGGACAATTCTCACTGAAGATTTCACAAGCGCTATGATGTTTGTTTGGGTTTAATCCCAAGAATTCAGCCTTATGGTACTTTGAGTCCAGGAACTGATGGACAATTCTCCTTCTAAATATATTTTTCTGTTTGTTTCAATAAAAGGCAAATAATATGTCGAACTGGCAAAGAAAGTAACTGTTGATCAATTACAACATTTTATAAATGCTTAGGATTAATTCTAATTGGCGGTTTACTCATTTTAGCCCAACAAAGTTGAACAAATATTAGTGTTAATTATATACACAATTGCCTTGATTATTTTCTGTCATCAAACCCTGTTTAACTGTAAAACCACAGTTGGAGAATGGACGTGGGACGCTCAATGGAGTACTGATTGCTTGCAATTGAAGGATAACTCCCCACTAAAGGAATCTGGAATAAATCAGCATTTTATTTTATGTGACCGGAATACAAACAGATTCATTTAGGAAACATACACAAAGAAAATTGCAGATCACTTTAATTGGATCTCTAACTGAAGCCTGATCTTCCCTGTGCAGAACCTTGGTGGAGAAACTTATTCCAATCTTTTTCTAAAATAAGGTTTTTGACAGATTGATGGTCCTGCTTTTTTCAGGATTGTTGTTGTGGTGGGATGGGATAATCTGCTCCTTAGAAACAGCAGTTATAGAAGATAATGGGTGCTCGTTATAGAAGATTATCTAATTTTATTCTGAATTCTGACACTGCCTTGGAATTCATTAATTACGCTGTTTTCAACCTGGTTTTGGTCTGCCGGAGTGGAAGCTGAAGTGACTAACTTAATCTCAGATCAAATCTGTAAAATTTACAATTGCCCTTTGCCTTGGAGAGTTAATTGGCTGATTATTAATAGACAGAGAAAGGGACAGTTTACAATCCAGGGCTTTGTCCGAGTGTCTCTCCAGTTAAGTGTGTGTGGTTGTGTCTCAAGGGCAAGTGGTACTTTTTCTGGAAAGTTGTGACTTCCAAGCTCACCGAAATGGTTATTTACTGGTTAACTGTTTTCTCCCCTGCAAAATGCATGCTGCTTCCAGCCATCGCAAATCCTAGCATTTAAGTAGGGTTTGTAGTAACTTAAGGTTAACTAGTCCTTATGACCCCAATTGATCCCAATATTTCTGTTGCTAAGCGAGGCAGTTGTTAAGTTTTGCCTCCTTTTACAACCTTTCTTGCCACAGTTGTTAAGCGAATCACTGCAATTGTCAAAGTTAGCCACCCGGTTGTGAAGTGAATCTGGCTTCCTCATTGATGTTGCTTGTCAGAAGGCCGCAAAAGGGGATCACGTGACCCTGGGACGCTGCGACTGTCATAACTATGAGTCAGTTGCCAAGAGCACGAATTTTGATCACGTGATTCACAGGGATGCTGCAACAGTCGTAAGTGTGAAAAACGGACATAGGTCACTTTTTTCAATGCGGGTGTAATTTCAAATGGTCACTAAATGAATGGGTGCAAGTCGAGGAATATCTGTAAACATGAGACGCATACAGATAATCAATGACGAGATGAGATATATGATATAAAACATAAAATATTGTATAGGATATAAGATACAAGATATAAGTTAATCTTTATTGTCTTTTTTCTGTGAAAACACTCTGTGAAGACACATTAAAAAATAAAATTATGATGCCTGCTCTCAAAGGAAAATACATACTATATACATACATGTACACACATACATATACATCCATCTACACATGTACATCCACAAACAAACACACACATATGGATACATATATTAATTGCAGTCCATTTTGAATATAGAGCAAAAAAAGGGTCTTGAGAGAGTTAACAAGATTTTCCCTGATTCTTAATATTTATTAACGATAATAATGTGTTGACCTGATAGGGAATGTTTTATTTCCCACTCACATTTTAAATGGAGGGTTAACCTTGTCAATCCAGTGAATGAAAAGTCTTCTGGCACCAGTTTCATATATTTGTGTCGGTGCGTAATACGGCCCAACACTTGTATTTGCTTTGCCCGCAGAATGAGGATGTTGTTAATCCTGCCTTATTATTCCATTTTTTTCCCCTTTTTTCTGATAGCCAGAAGTTCAGCTTGCTGAAGGTTTTGACGTTTTTATGCCTAAATCACAACTGGACTCTATCTTAGCAAATTACACTCGCTCAGGAAGTCTCCTCTTTCGAAAACTGGTGTGCGCGTTTTTTGACGACAAGACGTTGGCCAACTCTCTGCCGAACGGCAAAAGGAAAAGGGGCCTCAATGACAACCGGAAAGGATTAGACCAAAATATTGTGGGTGCAATAAAAGGTATTTATTTTTCCCTACTTTTTCATACCCCTCTTTTTCCAAAGTCTTCTCAACATGGGGAGGAGGTTTCGCACCTGGTAGCCCTGTCAGCACAATTGAGCCCCAAATTTTACGGCTAAGCGAGACAGTTGTTATGTGAGTTTTGCTCCATTTTACAACCTTCCTTGCCACAGTCGTTAAATGAATCGCTGCAGTCGCTAAATTAGTAGCACGGTTGTTAAGTGGATCTGGCTTCCCCTGGACTTGGCTTGTTGGAAGGTCCCCAAAGGGGATCAAGTGATCCCCAGGACACTGCGACCGGCATAAATATGCGTCTATTGCCATCATTGACAACCGTTCAAAGTTACCATGTCATGAAAAAAAGGTGATTTAGGACTATTTTTTCAGACTTACGGCCGTGGCAGAGTCCCCATGGTTACGTGATCAAAATTTGGACGCTCGGGCAACTGATTTGTATTCATGACGGTTGCAGGGTCCCTGGTTATTTTTCACAACCTTCTAATAAGGTGAGTCAATGAGGAAGCCAATTCACTTAATAACTGTGTTACTAACTTAACAACTGTGGTGATTCACTTAACAACTGCGACAAGGAAGGTAATAAAACATGGCAAAACTCACTATCAATCATCCATCCATCCAAAAATTTCCTTTGCTAAGGATGTTGCTTAGCAACTTTTGAGCTCAATTGTGGTCAAAGACTCTGTGTGTGTATGTGTGTGTGTGTGTAGATAGATTAGACCGAGGGATGGACGATAGATGATAGATAATAGATGGAAAATAGATAGACAGACAGACATCGATAGATATAGGTGTCTGTGTGTGTGTGTGTAAATGTGGAGCTCAACTGTGGTCCTAAGTTAAAGGCTACACACACATCTCAAATATGTCTCTGAAGCAGTTTTCAGTGCCACCCAGCTGCCAACCTCCCTCAAGTGGCACCAGTAGGCACCATTCTGACAAGAAGACTCCTTCTATTGAGGTGCCGGTGAGGAAGCCTCCTTGGCTTCAGCAGGGGCTTCTCCTAGGCAGGAGTAGGAAGCGATGCCATGGTGGGTCTCCGCTCTGCCTGGCTCCATTCACCCAAGCTGACTTTGCAAAGCTGTTCTTCCAGAGACTGTAGCCCCATTTATTTCTTCTGGTGGCTCCGTCGGCCTTCGGTCCCATTCAGAATCAGAAGGTCTTGTTGTCCACTTGGCATCGAGAGAGGCTTTCCAGAAGATCTGGCCCCAAACTTTGCACTGCTCTTCCCCACGAGTCCAGAGGGAGCAGGTTCTGTCCGTTAGAGAGGGAGTGTAAAGACTTTTGGGCGATATAATTCATTTCCAATTTCCCTGTGACACTTTTGGAGAGGATGCTCGTTTTACTACCAGAGAGCTTATCAACAGGGTGCTAATAAGGCCATTAAAAGCATTGTCGTTGAGTGGAGTTTTTGACGTCAAACCTGGTTTGGCTTCCAAACTGATTTTCCCCCACATATTTCCACTTGTTTCTTTTAACCTTTGTCTCTGTTCCTTGCCTCAAATACACTCTTAAGTCAGATCTCCGCTTCAGAGGTCTGGTCTAAAACTTATTTTCTCCTTAAAGTTCCCTCCAGAGACAATTGTGAAAAAACATGGTTGCATCTCTTTCCGCACCTCCTCCTTCCAAAAATGGGATGGGGGACCCTCAAACTTGGCTAAATCCACATGATGTGATGTGGCTCCTGCCCAAAGAACCTGAGTTGTGGTCCTCAAAGATCAAAAACAGGCTCATTCCTACCCAGTCCAGTTCTTTCTAAACAACTATGTTAGATAGTTTGCTATAGCTCATGTTTTCCTCCCTTTCTGAAATGCTCCTTAATTAAGGAAATATATTGGCCTCTGACTTCCTAAAACGCTGAAAAGTACTCGTAAGCCAAAGAAAGGAATCGTTGGTCTGTTGGTTGATTACATCATTCATCATTCTCTCTCTTTTTTTTCGTTTGTTCTGATGTCTTTTCCAAGTGGATCCTTGATGCTCTCTGAGCTTGGCGGGTTTTTTGCAGACATTTCATGACCCAACTGGGGAACATCATCCGTGCTAGAGTGGAAGAGAAGGAGAGGAGAAGGACGGTGAGGTTCTTGACTGGGTGGCTTTGTTGCAGACGTTTCATGACCCAGCTAGATCACTTCATCAGCGAACCCCATTCCTTCTCACACTGATAAAGTTACCTAGTTGGGTCATGAAACGTCTGCAAGAAAACCACCGAAGGTGGAGGGTTCGTTCTCCGAGCTTGTGGGTTAGTTTCCGAATGTTTTGTTACCAGGCTAGGTCAGATCTCAGGGGAATTGAGGGAATGTCAGCTTATAAGGACTTCATGTGGTCAGTGGGTCTTGTGATGGGGAGATCTTATCAGGTGAGGATTTTGTGATGGGCCAGGTGTGGGTCACATCAAGTGAGGGTCTCGTTGCTGCAACCCACACCTGACCCACCAAAAGACCCATCACAAGACTCTCACTTGACACACCCAAACCTGACCCATCACAAGAGCTACTGACCACACAAAGCCCTTATCAGCAGAACAGCATCAACACTGACCTCCTCTCAACGCCACTGAAGACATTACGTAGCCTGGTAATGAAACGTTTGGAAACCAACCCACGAGCTCGGAGGTCGAACCCCCACCCACATTCTAGCCCTCAGCTATAGAAATTTGCCCCCGTCGCAAAAACCCCAAGGGATCAGAGAGCACCAAAGACCCCACAGTTCAACCCTGAGCTGCCGAGGGCCAAAGGCCACACTTCTTCAACATTTCTCTTCTTCTCCAAGTGACAGTTCAAAACTTCTCCTTCCTCTGGTGGCTTCCCCTTCCTCCAGGGTTTCTTCTTGATTTACATGTCTGTGAAACAGGATGTGAGGAGCGGTGGGTGGAGAGCAGAGTCGGAAGGGGGGGGGCATCGTCTTAGAAGAGATTTTGTGTGGGTGTTTCCTCGGAACCTTTGCAAGTAGCCCTTTATATTTACATTTCATATTTTAGGAAATTTATACGTGGTGACTCAAGGCGGCTTACAAGGACACGGAAACCTCATATATAAAACAATGAAACCAATAACTAATCGGCTTTCAACAGTTCATTTAGTGACTGTTTGAAGTTACAACAGAGCTGAAGAAAGGGAGTTGTCATCGTTTTTCACACTTATGGCCATTGCGGTATCTCCATGGTCATGTGGTTTACATTCGGATGCTTAACACCTGACTGACATTTATAACGGTTACAGTGTCCCGGGGTCACGGGATCCCCTTTTGCGACCTTTTGACCAGCAAAACCCAGGGGGGGGGGGAGCCAGATTCCCTTAACAACTGCGTTGCTAACTTAACAGCTGCCGTGATTGGCTTAACAACTCCGGCAAGAAAAGTTGCCAAAGCGGGGCCAAACTCACTTAACAAATGTCTCGCTTAGCAACAGCCACGTTGGGCTCAATTGTGGTCGTAGGTCGAGGACTATCTGTCTTGTTTGGTTTTGCTTCCTCAATTGGTCTGTTCCTTTGTTTCCTTGCAGTGTTCACAGAAAAATACTGTACTGTAAACCACGTGGATAAACTCCCTGGCCCCAGGGACTGGGTCCAGATTCTGCAGGATCAGATCAAGCTGGCCAGAAGGCGGTTGAAAAGAGGATCGGGTGAGTGAGGAGAAGCACGGAGGGAGGGGAGGGAAGCGCGTGGAGCAGAAAGGAAAGGAGACCCTGAGGATCCTGTCCTGAAGTTTGAGGAAGGGTGGGGGGGCTTCCTAAATACCAGGTTATGCCTGGGACCTCTCTCTCCTTCCTCGCCTTCTTCCTTTCCTCCGGGTTCTCAGCCTGGAGTGCAGGTGGAAATCACCTGGATCCAGGAGTTCTCCTTTGGAGGGTAATTCAGAGATTTCCTGGGGTTGCTTTCCATGGGCATAAATCTGAATTACCTTACAGGGTGGGCTGAGAGAGCCCTCGGACTCTTCGTGTACAGTCCCCCCCTTTTTTCAGTGCTGTGGTAAGATGGGACGGTCACTAAACAAACTGTTGTAAGCCGAGGACTATACAACAGTTCATTTCGGAACCGTTCAAACAGGACTGAAAAAAGTGACTCGTGACCATTTTTCACACTTACGAGCCTTGCAGCATCCCCGTGGTCATGCGATTTACATTCGGATACTTGACAACTGACTCACATTTGTGACGGTCTCAGTGCCCTGATCCCCCCTTTGCGACCTTCTGACAAGCAAAGTCAATGGGGAATCTGGATTCACTTAACAACCGGGTTACTAATTTAAGAAGCATAGTGTTTCACTTAACGAACATGGTGACAAAGGTCGTAAAATGGGGCAGAACTCACTTAAGAAATGTTTCGCTTAGCCACAGAAATTTTGGGCTCCACTGTGTTCATAAGTCGAGGACTACCTCTATTTTAAAAGTCTCAATATACCATCATCCTGAACTGGTGGCGCCTTATGGAGGTTGCGGTGCAAAAAATGGTGAGCTACAGGTTGGGGATACGGTGGCTAGTTTCCGTCTCATCTCTAACTCCAAAATTCTAGCAGATAATAATGAGGCTGCGGAGCATTTAAGATTTTGTTTTATTTATTTAAAAATGCATTTGATGCCCTTTGAAGTTAATCCATCTCCAGGATTAACGTTCCCCAGGTAACATTTCAAAGCAAAATACCCAACTTCTCAAAAGAGCATCATTCGCATTTTCAAAAAAAAATATTTTCCCCCTTCTTAAAAGAATAGGACACAAACGGAATTAAGTAATCCCTGCTACATTAACATTTCAGCAGCAGGAGGAGGAGGAAAGAGAATAAAAATGGTTTTTAAGCCCATCAAAAGACAGAATAACAGAGCTGGAAGGGACCTCGGAGGCCTTCTAGTCCAACCCCCTGTTCAGGCAGGAAAACCCGTACTATTTCAGACAAGTGGCTGTCCGGTCTCTCCTTTAAAATGTCCAATGTTGGGACATTCTCAACTAAGAAGAGATGTGTATAATCACAGGTTCTCACAGGCTGCTTTTACCCAAAGAATGGGAACGACATCACAAAAAGTTGTGTTGCAAATTCCATCCCTTCTGGGTAGACAGGTAGTCCTCAACTTACAGCAATTCATTTAGTGACCGTTCGAAGTTACAATGGCATGGGGCAAGATGACTTAGAGCCCCCTTTTCACACTTATGACTGTTGCAGAGCCTCCCTGTGGTCAGGCGATGAAAATTCAGGCGCTTGGCAACTAAATCCTATTTGTGACGGTCGCAGTGTCCCGGGGTCACGTGATCCCCTTTTGCCTTCTTCTGAGTCAATGGGGAAGCCAGAGTCACTTAACAACTGTGTTACCCACTGAACAACTGCAATGATTCACTTAACAGCCGTGGCAAGAAAGGTCCTAAAATGAGGCAAAGCTCACTTAACAGACATCTTGCAGCAGATAGTTTGGGCTCACCTGTGGTCTATCTGCACTCAAAGGCGAAATGTTGCAGACGAAGGAGCAATTTAGCCTCCGCTGGCATCTCCAGAAGCATTTTAAGAATGAGAAGGCAGGCGGGGACATGTCTGGATCAATCCTTAAGAGAGAGAGGAGGATTTTGCAGCTGGGCCTCTGCAGTTAAAGGTTTTCAATGGGAAATAATCTCAGCTAGGCTGAATCACTGTGAAACCAGTCGGGCGATTTAGCATTGTCTCCGTTTTAAAATGGCAACGGCCAGGGCAGTAGGCAGAACAAGAAGCAACAGGTGGAAACTCATCCAGGAGAGAAGCAACCTGGAATTAAGGAGAAGCTTCCTAACAGGGAGGACAATGAATCAGAGGAATGGCTTCCCTTCAGAAGTGGTGGGTGCTTCATCACTTGAAGCTTTTAAGAAGAGACTGGACAGCCATTTGTCTGGAATGGCTATAGAGTCTCCTGCTTGACCAGGAGGTTGGACTAGAAGACCTCCCAAGGTCTTTTCCAGCTCTGATTGACCAATTGACTTTTCTGATGCCCCCAGTAACACCCCTGCCCTCACTTTTGCTTTTGAAAAAGAACTTTGACTTCTCAGGGTTTTGCGTCATTTTGTCAAGCGGTAGTCGTGCTCTGCTTTGTACCTTTGTTTTCAAAGTTTGGCCTTTTTCCTAGAATTCATTGCAGCAAAGAAAGGTTTGGCTGAGAAAAAAATGTTATCAAGAAAAGTGCACCGAAGTGGATTTTTGGAATGCCGCTTTAGGAACTTAAAAGTCATATTTTCCACTTTGTATCCTTAATGCAGTGGTGGGTTGTTTTTTTTAAATGTAATGAAACTATTTTTTATGTGGCTTGGCATTTTTCCTGCTCAGTTCAGTTATTGATTTACATCCGAAAAGGATTTCACATATTAGTGTGTGTGTGTGCATTATGCCGCAGTAAAATCCTTTCCACTGTAAAAGTTGATTAGCCTTCGGTCAGGGACAAATTTAACTTTGGTTGAAGCAGCTCTGTTACCCAAATCCCCTTAAGCAGAAGTAATATAGGGGCAGAGTTAAAGAAAAGAGGTCAAGTCAGCAACTGCACAACTGAAGCGCTGCCTCCTTCTTACATGCAGGGGTTGGGCTTCTTAACTTCACTGGATGAGAAATTTAAAAAACAAAATACAAAAAACTAAACTAAAGAAAGTGCTAAAGTACTAAAGTATTAAAATTGTAAACAACTGTTTACAATTACGAGAAAAGGATTAATCATAACCAATAACCAACAAAACAAAATTCTAAGCAATGTAAACGTATCACTTATATATCAAATCAGAGGCGGGTTGCTTCCGGTTTGGGCCGGATCGGGCGAACTGGTTGTAGCGGCAGCTGGGAGCTCCACCCACCTGCCCAGATGCTTCTGCACATGCGCAGAAGTGTCGCGTGAGCCTGCCTGAACCGGTAGTAAAAAAAATTAGCAACTCGTCACTGTATCAAATGTTAAACAATATACAATATACTGATGAGATTACCTAGTTGGGTCATGAGACATCTGCAAGAAACCAAGCTCAGAGATCACCCAAGGGCCCCACAGTTCTCCTCCTCCCTCCTCCTGTCTACAAACCCTTCTCTCTTCCAGAACTGATGATGTTACCTAGTTGGGTTATTAAAATGTCTTGAAGAAAACAATCAAGCTCAGAGGGCACCAAAGTCCCCACAGTTTTCTTCCTCCTTCTCCTCCTCCTTTACAAACTCCACCCTTCTCTAGCACTGACACTGTTACGTACTTGGGGCATGAAAAGTCTCAAGCAAACCATCAAGCTCAGAGAGCACCGAAGACCCCACAGTTCAACTTTGAGCTAGAGAGTTGAAGTCAACTCATCTTAAATGTTGCTGAGGTTGAGAAACACTTTACAAGTGACCAGCTTGGTGAAGAGGGTACCAGGGTGGTCTCTGGAAAAAAAGAAGAAGAAAAAACTAGACTGACTGTTTTTAAATAAACATCCATGATTCATTTCTTTTCTGCATTTACTCTTTTTTAAACTCCCAAGTAAAATAGTTGTGGAATAATTTTCTTTTCTTCCATACCTGTCTTTAGCAGAAACGGCTGATGGTGATGAGAAAGTGGACATTTCTCTGCTAGAGGCAGGTAAATGGCGCCAAGGTTTGTTTCCTTGTTTAATTTGTTTAATGTGAGATATACTGTACCACTAACTGCCGGAACTTCTTAGCAGCTTAGCAATAAAAACAAATTTAAAATCAAGAACACTTAAAATAAACAATGGAAAGCAAGTAAGCCCCAAAGCCTGTTAGAAAATAAGTTATGCTGAGGATTTTTTAAAAGGAAATAAAGAGGGAAGGCGTTCCTGGGTCTTGGGCTGGCAGCAGGAAAAACAAAGAAGGTTGCCCCCAGATGACCTCTCAACCATCCCTTGAGATCCTCTCCAGGAGCAGAGAGGTTCATGGAGAAAGAGGTCCTCTCTCTCAGACCCCCTGCAGCTGAGCCACGTGGGCGAGGGGGTGGGGGGAGGGCTTCAGAGCTAATGGCCAGCGGTCCAAGAAACCAACTGGATCAGATTACTGTAGCCTCTGGGTTTTCCTAAAAGCAGCTCAGTGGCCAAGTCAGGTCCTAGCTGAGGTTTCTGGATTAGATGCTTGTCAAGAATATGCCTCATACCAATAAAGGGGAATATTTGTAGCTCAGGTTGGAATGTCTTTGGTGCTCCCTGAGCTTGGTGGTTTTCTTGGGGACATTTCATGAACCAAGTAGGTGACATCATCATCGCTAAAAATGAGTGGGTTATATTGTAAATAAACAGAGAGCAAACCCCACTCCCTTCTAGCATTGATGATGTTACCTAGTTTGGTCATGAAATGTCCACAAGAAAACCACCAAGCTCAGGGAGCACCAAGGACCCCACAGTCCTCCACTTCCTCCTCTTCTTCCTCCTCCTCCATTTCTACGAAACCCCCTCCCTTCTAGCACTGATGATGTTACCTAGTTGGGTGATGAAACATCCACAAGAAAACCTAGAAAGCTCAGGGGGCATCAAGGACCCCTCAACATGCATCATAATTATAGTTCCTTAAAATGCTAATTTTCAACTTTTAACTCTTTTTCAGGTACCCTCCTTGAAGCCACACCTTCTGCGCCAGTGTTTCATTAGCATATTCAAACCTTGGTTTGAGATGATGCCAGCAACCTTTCTAGATTACTTCACTATCCGTGCTCTCCTGTTTCACGATCTCCGATCAATTTTTTTTTCATGCTTTTCTAATGTGGATAATAATTAAGCGACAAATCACTTTTCCTTTGGATTTAATCAAGATAACTAGATTTGTTCGTAGAGAGGCTCTAGTGCAATTAGTCTGGTAACCAATGTGATAGGATGAATTTTGATTTTATGATGGCATTTTCCCATATAAATACATGTGTGGTGGTGATTCTAGAAAAAAAAGAGAAATTAAAGTCTCCTCTTAATCTTACAAAGAGCTCCTAACACCTCCATTTCGTATAGTTTTTGTCATAGGATCAAAAATAAAACTTCTAAGACATTTAAGGAGTCTTAATTTAATGAGTTTCTGAGTTGAGTCTTTCCTTCCATCCCCACAAAGCAAATTTCTACTTGACTAAAATTATTATTTTTTTCAGAAGCAGAATTGCTCTCATTATATTTGACCATAAGATATTAATTAATATTTCTTGCGATGTCACATTTAATCCTGATCAAATACTCCTTGGATGCGTACAGGAGTAACAATTAATGTATTTTATTCCCTCATTGATGAACTAAGAACCATCAACTCTGTGTGCTTAGATTCCATTCTCCTTTGTTTTGCTACTTTATGGGGATTAGGAATTGTGAGAACCTTTTGGAAGATACAACTTTGAGAAGATTCCTTACACATTTCCTCTCCTTTTTCCATCCCTTCAGAGCTGAAAAGATATTTGGGGGTTTGTGCTAATATTTCTCTTTTCAAACAAAAGCAGGAGTATGGCTAGCAACTCTCCACTAATCTTCAATACACTCCGATATCTCATAAACACCATCTGAATTTATTTGCATTTTTGTTACTCCCGGTGTCTCCTACGTTCTACATGAGAAGGTCTCCTCATATCTTAGATCAGAGTGTCCAACCTTGGCCACTTTTAAGACCTGTGGACTTCAATTCCCAGAATTCCCCAGCCAGCCTTGCAAGGCTAGCTGGAGAATTCTGGGAGTTGAAGTCCACAGGTCTTAAAACAGCCAAGGTTAGACACCCATTTTACATGAAGGGTTAATGCCACATACATGACAAATTCATTGATACTGTCATAAACATCTCTAGCAGAGTCTAACGGTGTGTTTAGGAATCCTCTTCTTCAGCTTGCTAAAAATAATCATTTCTGCAGTTCAATAATGTTTTTAAATAAATTTTTAAACTGAATGCAGTACAAACAACTTACCACTGAAACATGGCTGTCTTTCCTTGATGCCTTGACCAACCTGGGCTAGTGCTGTGGTCTGTAAGGATCCCACATCCTCTTTTTGAGGCCGAGGGGATTTTCTTCCACAAATGAAATTTCTTGGTCTTTTCCATAAATCTACAAACAAATCATACGTATTGTAACCATTAACCCACAATCAGCAGTCTTACGAATCTTTAAAAACAATTGTACTTGTGTTGGCTTTAACTGTGACTACTATTAAAACCTTTTTCCAGGCGTCTTTTTTAATAGGTTTTATTAGAAAAAATATCATCCCATATTTAGGTAAAAGTCTCAATCTTATGTATATATGTTTTATTAATATGTACATATTTAGCTATTTTTTAAATTACTATGTTCTTAATAAAACCAACAAGGGACTAGTTGTGAAATGGTGCATTAAGATTGTGTCGTGTTATCAATCTCTGGGAATCTTTGTCAAGTTCAACAAAATAATAATAATAATAATAAATTACTTTAATTTAATCAAGAGTCCTTATACTTTTTTTCCCCACAGATTATTTTTTAAGTTATTGTACATGTTTCTTCATGTCAGTATCATATTGTTATTAATGTAAAGGGTAATTAATGCATTGTTTTATCAGCCAGGAAATTAGCAATAAGGCTAAACTAGCCGCCCCAAAGGCAGGATTAAATTAGCAGCCGTGCTTTGCTTGTTTGTGGAAGGGATGAAATTTGTTATTTATAACATGGGAATGACACATCCATGTAACACAGGATGGGGAACAATTGTGGTTTTATTTATTTAAATAATGGCACACCTTGATTGTGTGACACGTAACAAAAGGCAAGATACAGGTAGTCCTTTCAATAGTTCATTTAGTGATCCTTCAGAGTTATGACATCAGAGAAAAAAGTGATTTATGACTATTCTTCACACTTACGACCGTTGCAGCATCCCCACAGTCACATCAAAATTCAGACGTTTGGCAACTGACTCATATTTATGACGGTTGCTGTCACATGATCTCTTTGCGATCTTCTGACCAGCAAAGTCATCGGGGAAGCCAGATTCATTTAACAATTGTGTTACTAATTTAACAATTGCAGTGGTTCACTTAACTGCGCCAAGAAAGGTCATAAAATGGGGCAAAATTCACTTAGCAACAGAAAATTTGGGCTCAATTATAGTTGTAAGTCAAGATTGTAAGAGCCCTGGTGCCACAGTGGTGAGAATGCAGTATTGTAGGCTAACTCTGCCCACTGCCAGCAGTTCGATCCTGACTGTCTCCTCATCCTTCCATCCTTCCTAGGTCAGTGAAATGAGGAGCCAGATTGTTGGGGGCCATGTGCTGACTTTGTAAAACCACTTAGAGAGGGCTGTAAAGCACCGTGAAGCGGTATATAAGTCTAAGAGCTATTGCTTTTGCTACCTGCATTGCAAGTGGAGAGCAAAATCAGTAATTCTTGGGAGAAGAACGCCTGCAGAGGAGGAAAACGTTTGACCGGGTTTCTTGGAAGCCAGCAAGCAGCCAGCGGCAGAGTTAATGGAGAGGGGATCGAGAGGATTATAAACAGGTTTGGCAGGTAGTGTGCCCCGAGCGCATCGCAACGTGGCCATTACTGGACCAACCGGTTTGTAATGTCATCTGGTAATGCCAGCTGCAACACCTCCTGAGGTCTTAAAATTAGCCATTTTGTCAGATTGCCCTTGCACTGGGCTTCCCTTGGGAAAGCTTCAACAGATAGCAAAAGGAGCTATTTTCATCCAGAATGGGACAGAGAACAAGAACAAGCGTCTCATCTGGGAACGTCAATAAGAATTCCACGTTCTGAAGTTTTGCATTCCCACCTGGATCAATTTTGCAAAACTGTCTGAGCCACAAGTACACTGTAGCTTCCTCCATAACTTTCCTTTCTCTTTTTAGAGACTCCTGCAGCCAAGAGACCAAAAACACTTAGTGCTTTGCTTCCCTCTGGGGACAATCCTGAGTTTTGAAACCAGACCTGCTAAGTCTTAAGCCAATATCTATTTCCTTTGTCTTATTTTCTGCCAGCGTTTCCTTATTTTTCTTTTGGCTTGCCACTTTTGTGGATGCCTGGGAGACGTTATGCATTTGCCACAGAAACAACAATAGCACGAAATAAGGTGAGACGGAAGGGCAGCATTAAAACTCACAGGGAAAACACAATGGCCACTTTGCGTTTGAAGGTGGGGTGTGTGTGGTTACCCAGCAAGCCCACTCCTCTATTGCTCAAGGTGCCCGGGGTGTTTTTTTTGTGCAGTCAGTAACTCAGGATCAATTACAATGGTGGGCACACAACAGCTTTGTTCTATATAAATTAACCTCAGAAAATCAATTATGGAAAACTTGTCTCCCTGCTCGGTCTGTAATCACAGCAAATGAGACAACCGAGGGGATTTATTTGGAGAATACCAATATAAAGGATTTAGAATATATATTGGCAGGATCCACAGGGGAGATTAACATAGCCAAATTGGTAGCCACAAATTACTGGAAGAATACAAAGTGATTTAAGGAAAAGAGCATTAATCAGGATGACATAATTTGAGGCACAGGTAATTCCTCATGTAACTACCGTTTGTTTAACGGGTTCAATAGCAATACCGTAGTAATAGCGCTTGGACTTATATACAGCTTCACAGGGCTTCAATGCCCTCTATGAGCAGTTTACAGAGTCAGCCTATTGCCCACAACAATCTGGGTCCCCATTGACCTCAGAAGGATGGAAGGATGAGTCAACCTTGAGCCGGTCAGGATCAAATTGCTGGCAGTCAGCAGAGTTAGCCTGCAGTACCACATTCTAACCCTGGGCCACCAAAGCTCAGAGGAAGAGAAAACAGGAAAGGGAAAAAGAAGGGAGGAAAGGAGAAAGAGAGAGAAAGGAAAGGAGGAAAATATTGCAATAGCAATTATCTACCGCTTCTCAGTGTTTTTAAAGCCCTCTCTAAGCGGTTTTACAGAGTCAACCTGGGGCAATACTCATTTTAAAATGTCTCACTTAGCAACATAAATTTTGGACTTAATTGTGGTTGTAAATCGAGGACTACCTGTAGTGTCCTCTATTCTATTTTATTCTAATCCCATTCCATTCTACCCTACCCTACCCTTCATTCTGGAGTTTAAAAGTGTCACTTAGAAATTGGCGCAAACGCAAGCAGATATTTGTGCGAGACAGAGTTTCCCTTTCATTTCCCCACCCTGATCATAGGAGGTTCTTCCCTATCTGCAAATGAAAGAGCAATTTTCTCTTCTCTAATAAAGCCCAACGGCAGCAGCATCTCCAGCCTCTGCTGCAGCTCCTCCTGATGGCAAATGGCTCTTCAGCTAATGCCATCTTGTGGCACCTGACCTGTTATGCATTCATTTTACCTGTAATGGTCTCCTTTCAAATACTCCCAGGCAATTCTAAAAGGAAATGGAAACGAATTAGAAATGCCTACAAGAGACCCATTAGCATAAATCCAATCAAGAAGGCTTTGTTTAAGTTGTTCAGGAGGGTTTTAACTTTGCAGCCCTGTCAAGGGCTGTAAAAAGGGGTTTTTTTTGCTTGCATTGCTTAAGATTGGAAACAAAGATGCTTTTAGGTTTATGTAATTCTCTTACGGAAATAATAGCAATGCAGAAAATAGGTAAACGGTGTAAAAAACATTGGAAAAATCATACCATAAGAGAACAACAGACAGATAATCCTCAACTTAAAAGGGTTTCTGTTACTAAGTGAGACATTTGTTAAGTGGGTTTTGCCTCATTTTACAACCTTTGTTAAGTTGTTAAGTGAATCGCTGCAGTTGTTAAACTAGTAACCCGGTTGTTATGTGAATCTGGCTTCCCCATTGACTTTGCCTGTCAGAAGGTCGTCAAAGGGGATTATGTGACCCTGGGGACACTGCAACCGTCATAAATACAAGTCAGTTGCCAAGCGTCTGAATTTTGATCACATGACCATGGAGATGCTGCAACGGTCGTAAGTGTGAAAATTGATCGTAAGTCCCTCTTTTTTAGTGCCATTGTAACTTTGGTCACTAACTATTGTTAAATTGAGATCCCTCTGTATTACATATAGAACATGGCTTATAAGTGTTCTTCCCTGATTCTCCCTCCCAAAATAATTTAAATATTAATTAACACTCTTACCAACTACTTACTGCTGAAAACGAACTATATATTTCTCCACGTGTGCTATATCACAACCTCACCTCAATTCCCCCCAAACTACTGCAAGTAGTTCTCGGTAAATTCCAAATGGTGGGAGAGGTCATTTTTATAACTAAAGCACAAACTGTCATAAAACAGGTTTCATAATGATTCTGAATGATTCTTATCTCTACATCGTATCAATTATGGCCACTGGCTTCTCAGTTAAACCATGGTTTAGCAAATAATCTACCAACCATACATTGCTTTTACAAACCACAACGTCTTGAGTTCATAAAGCACATTAAACAAACAACTTTTGGGTTTAAAGATCTGTGTCTGCTCACTGTGTCATCTCTTTTGTTAGTGTTTAATGCCTCCGTTCTGAAGGATGCTCAAGAAAGGCAATTTTTTGGTTGTAATACCTGCATCTGTAGGTGGCTGTGGCAAATTGCTTCAACCACCTTGCGTTTTCAATGGACACCTTGAGAGAGATAGAAATGCATTGCTTGATTATGTCAAGTTGACAATGTCAGAAAGTTGGGCAGAGGGAGAAGGAGGGAAGGAGGGAGGAAGGAAGGAAGGAAGGATAAGAGAGGGAGGGGATTTGATGATTTTTAAAAATATATTTATATATGTTTTTTATAATAGAATTTCAAGACATCCTTTGTAAATAATAAGGCTCTCTTATCCAAGGTCTAATAGGCGTAACTTGGACAAATTTTATTAACAATTCCTCTTTTTGGCACATTCACCCTCACCAGAGACTTGAATGTTTTACTAATTAACATAGAGAAATTATGTAGTTTGCCAGCCATTTCCCTAAGTGGAGATGTACCAGGGACTGCAATGCTGATTTTGTCACTATATAGTATACAGTAAAAACCAAGCACAAGAGTGGGAAACAAGCATTCTTTTAAATTGGATTATTTTTCTCACTTATACCTCCCTGTCTTCTTAGCTGGAGATTTTGTTATCTTTTCCATTTAAAGAGTAACTTTTAAGAAATGATTTCCTAACTGCCATTCCATGGACGGATCCTCCAAAACTATTTTCAACTTGACCCAAAAAACCTGCTTGACACAGAATGGCCCTCACTACAGAGAAAACTGACAAAACGCAGAAAATTTGCTCAAGAATTTCATATCCCACTCAAGTAATTACTTAGGGCTGTTCCACGAACCAAATATGGAGAGGGTCCCAAATCCTAATTTTTGTGGTGGCTGATCTGATGTTTTTTTTAAAATATATTAGTCGAAAAGGCCAAGTTAAAGATTAAATGCCCCACATTAAGCCTTGGTGACTCTTAACTTTTTGTCCCATCTGGAATTTCAGATGGCAAAAGGTGAAGTCAACAGTCCGAGG